TCGATATCCACCTCTCTGAGGCCTACTCGTCATCAATGATTGCATTTTGATCTCAGACTGCTCTATTCTAGGGGTGAGATGTAATAGACTGGCGAACTTGCTCATAGATTGATTGACACTAGTATTTACCAGTTTCAGGATATCATCAAACTTTGGCTCGATACCCTCATCCTCCATACGGGAGCTCATCTTCACCCACTTCCTTTGCAGTCGAGTAGGTAGACGTCTTGCTATTACTTCTAGTATAAAACTCGAGTTGAGGTCACTCATGCGATTCATCGAAATCATTCCATTCTTGTAAATTAGCAAATTATCTAAAAACTCAGTGAGTGCCTGGGAGTCATCCTGTAATTGACCACCATTACCCTTAACAGCCTCGAATAATTTCCCTGCAATCATCGAAGGTCTTCCAAACCTTTGACGTAATATGCTCATAGCCTCGTAGTAGCCCTCTTTTGGCTTCATAAACTTACAGCACTGTATAGCTCTTGCAGCATCTCCAGTGCAATATCTCATCAAATACATTAACTTCAATTCATCATTTAATAAAAAACCACTCAACATGATCTCAAACTCCTTTACAAATTGTAAATAATCAGCCGGGTTTCCATCAAAACACCGTGGTTCAAATTTAGGGAGTTTGATGTTCCTATTATCCCTGAACGGCGAAACAGTAACATCAACCATGTCATGCTTAACATCAGACACATCGTTACAATTAACAGACAAGTCACCATGACTTACTTTCCTGTTTGCATCCAAGACACTCTGTCCCTTCTTTGACCCAGGCATTGTTGAACTTGACCCAATTCCAAAAAGTTCCAGATATTGCTTGTTCAAAGAGGACTTGACCGGCACCAGGAAAAATGAACGGCGACTATCCAAACTTTCACCAACTGTTTCAATCCGCCAGATCTGTTTCTATCGTCAGAAACTGTCAATCACGTCTCATAAACCGTTAATGCCCAGCTCTCGCTACGCTCGGGCCCACGCTGTTCTTCGAAGATTCAGAAACGCTTAGTTATAACGGACGCAAAAACCAAAACACCGATCTGCCGCTTTAGATTTGTTTATTGTTACACCAACATATAAAAGGAATAAGCGAACTAAGGTCTGAAAACAAATATTACAATAATAAATCATTATATTACTTCTGACGATGTTTCACTCTTCTTTCTGAACAGCGACCGATGAGACGATGACTGTCGTATTGATGCCTCCGCGAAAATTGGGGAAGTTGATTTTGAGCAAACAACCAAGAATTGATCGTTCAATCTTCAACTCCATTGACACTCCCCGGCAAAAAAGGGATCCAACCCTTTTTTCCTTCACGACCAATGCACGTTGACTTGGATGCCATTGCGAGAACCTGGGTCACACGGACAGAGCTGAAATGGAAAACAAACAGAAAAGCCAACACACCACAAGCATACCCACAGCACAATCTCACACATCAATGACGACCTGCGCCTCCAGACAGAGACCTCCTCTTGACATCTTGCAACACAATCGCCACTTGCTAGAATGACTCTTGCAGAATGCAAAGTGACCATGGCAGCACCTCACGATACTCTACGCACATCCTCTTAATTACTCACTACCAATTACCACTGAAATCGCTTGTCACTCATTCTGCCTCAGTTCTAGTAGCGGTGACGCATGCGAGCCTCAGTCGTTTACACTCTTTCTCCCCGGCGTGTCGGACCGCAGCTAACAATTATCTCCGTGTGCATTTCATTCTCAGCAATAGCCTAGCCTCCCCGGCGTATACGACCCATCTGCTGTCTCTAACATCAATCAATTCATTCACGGATGTAGAAGACTCGAAACAACTTCAGAAGTAATCACGACGAAAATTTTAACAAAATTATGCAATAAAAACAAGGCACGAAAACAACGAGTAAACACAACTGATCCAAAATCACAAATTGCGAAGACACACCACACGTATACACAAACAGTACAAATAACCTCGCGGATCATGTCTTGGTGGAATTATTTTGAAGAATTGGAGGACTTACACCAGTACGCCTGCAACCCTTCACAGGTTGACGATTGTAAGTTGTGGAATGTCCAGACACAAACAAGATTAACCAACAATTACATCAATTGGAACTCACACAACTATTTAACACAAACATATGTACAATCAACACATCAAATGTTGTGGATTCTGACACGACAAACTACCCTTGAAGAACCGTAGGACTTACAGCAGTACGCCTACATTCCTTCTCAGGTTGATGATCCAAGTGGAAGTCGTCCGGACACAAACAGAATTACCAACAGCTAGATGACAGATGATATCAATTCAGTATATACAATATGAACATATGTACAAGATCATACACCAAGCACATTGGACTGCTCATTGATGCGCTACCCTTTGAAGAACTGTAGGACTTACAGCAGTACGCCTACAACCCTTCTCAGGTTGACGCCCTAGGTTGGAAAATCGTCGCAGAGTTCATTTGCTAACTTCCTTCTATCAGCTATATCCTCAAATCTGAACGGCAACACGCCCATGTCATTGTATCGTAGAATATAGATGACCAACAAACACACGACATATCTCATCAACCAAGTATAGAAACAGAGTAATTTACACCAAAGATAATAACATTCAAATAGTAACTTGAAACTAGAAATGCCTTTATTCGTGCAAGTCAATTTAACAATAACTCTCTCCTTTACACTTGGCTTATCCACACTAAACTGACCATTGATATTCGTCCTTTCAAACGAACTGATACTACCATAGTCATTGCACAAGATACTTGAGTTGATGGGTGTCTGTTTCATTGTGGATGACAGCACCAACGATGACTGAGTGACACAAGGTGATGAACTTAGTGGTGGATCAGAAGCTGTTCTTGTTCGGCTCTCAGATAGTTGTCCAACTGCAAGATTACCACCACTGCTGTCTTTCACTACTAGTTCGGGTTTAGCACTATCATCTGATGATAGGTGGGCTACACGCTGATCAATTACACTGACTGTCTCACAAGTATGCACACCTTTTGGAACTGCATCTGCGTTCAATTCTACTTCACGTTGTAGTTGTACAGAACCTTTATTTAACTTAGCAGTAGTAGGCATATCCCTCATCTCATAATGATCAACCAAAGACAACTGTGAAGTATCATGATCATTATCACGAATATTCACTTTACCGTCAACTTCATCATTTTCAAACTCTTTAATAACAGAAGTAGACAATTTTGGTTCCTCCTCGCAAATCATTAAAGGTTTTATAACTTCACTCTGACTAGTAATACCTTGTAAACTTGTAGGGTCAGAACTGCACTCTGAAGCAGCAACTCTATTCTGTGACACTCTATTCAACAACGGCTTACCAGTTGCAACTACAGACTTCTTCACCGCACCGTTATCGTCACACAATTCGGAGTCAGACCTGGAGTTTACATTTAGCTTATCACTGAACTTGCTCACCGGTTCACAGTTCACTTCTGTATGCACCTCTTGCACACGTGTAAAACAAAACCGTGTTTGTCTTGCATCTTGTAACTTATCTGTTGAGGATGTACTACGAAACCTGTTACACTCACTAGGTCTATATGCATTACTAGACATCATGGAGCCTTCTCGATATCCACCTCTCTGAGGCCTACTCGTCATCAATGATTGCATTTTGATCTCAGACTGCTCTATTCTAGGGGTGAGATGTAATAGACTGGCGAACTTGCTCATAGATTGATTGACACTAGTATTTACCAGTTTCAGGATATCATCAAACTTTGGCTCGATACCCTCATCCTCCATACGGGAGCTCATCTTCACCCACTTCCTTTGCAGTCGAGTAGGTAGACGTCTTGCTATTACTTCTAGTATAAAACTCGAGTTGAGGTCACTCATGCGATTCATCGAAATCATTCCATTCTTGTAAATTAGCAAATTATCTAAAAACTCAGTGAGTGCCTGGGAGTCATCCTGTAATTGACCACCATTACCCTTAACAGCCTCGAATAATTTCCCTGCAATCATCGAAGGTCTTCCAAACCTTTGACGTAATATGCTCATAGCCTCGTAGTAGCCCTCTTTTGGCTTCATAAACTTACAGCACTGTATAGCTCTTGCAGCATCTCCAGTGCAATATCTCATCAAATACATTAACTTCAATTCATCATTTAATAAAAAACCACTCAACATGATCTCAAACTCCTTTACAAATTGTAAATAATCAGCCGGGTTTCCATCAAAACATCGTGGTTCAAATTTAGGGAGTTTGATGTTCCTATTATCCCTGAACGGCGAAACAGTAACATCAACCATGTCATGCTTAACATCAGACACATCGTTACAATTAACAGACAAGTCACCATGACTTACTTTCCTGTTTGCATCCAAGACACTCTGTCCCTTCTTTGACCCAGGCATTGTTGAACTTGACCCAATTCCAAAAAGTTCCAGATATTGCTTGTTCAAAGAGGACTTGACCGGCACCAGGAAAAATGAACGGCGACTATCCAAACTTTCACCAACTGTTTCAATCCGCCAGATCTGTTTCTATCGTCAGAAACTGTCAATCACGTCTCATAAACCGTTAATGCCCAGCTCTCGCTACGCTCGGGCCCACGCTGTTCTTCGAAGATTCAGAAACGCTTAGTTATAACGGACGCAAAAACCAAAACACTGATCTGCCGCTTTAGATTTGTTTATTGTTACACCAACATATAAAAGGAATAAGCGAACTAAGGTCTGAAAACAAATATTACAATAATAAATCATTATATTACTTCTGACGATGTTTCACTCTTCTTTCTGAACAGCGACCGATGAGACGATGACTGTCGTATTGATGCCTCCGCGAAAATTGGGGAAGTTGATTTTAAGCAAACAACCAAGAATTGATCGTTCAATCTTCAACTCCATTGACACCATCGATGTCCCAATCGACTCGGAGAGAAATACAGTAACTGTGACATGAGGAAGGCGTAGTATAATACTGTCGAGGAAGAATCAGTATTTCTTAAACTAGGATGGTAAGGTGATAAGATCGAACAAATAATAGTCAGGCGAATAACTTGGCGACATCCAATAGCCATTCAGGTTCTCCTACACAAAACAACCTGTTGATTACAACCAAAACTAGACCAATGTGTGGTCCTCGTTAACTCCGAATATGTTCACGAATTCCCATATGTGTGTAGTAGTAAAGAGGAGTGGAGAGACAGATGTCCACCGGGGCTGTTAAAAATTTACCAAAGAACCGACGTGTGGGATATTCATCACCATTTGATTCGGCACCTGAATGATACACGACACTGGATCTGCGTAGCACGATATTTTGAGGCGGTGGACAAACAAAACGCTTCACTGCTACTTGGAACTGCTGAATCTGTGGCCATAAGAAAAGTAGGGCCCTGATTATGTGTATAGAAGGAAGCTGTTGCGAGCGTATTACCACCTTGACAAGTACTAAATCTTTCAACGTGTAGAAATTTCATTCCATTTTTGCGACTTGACCGGGTGATTGCATTCGTTTGTCCCTTTACTAATTCCCAGAATCTTTTTACCTCTGAGCCTTTTCATTTCAACTAAACAACTTTGTTTAAGACTAATTGGCTGTCTCCGCTTACGCATGGATTGCACTCAAATTCCGGACACCTATCTTTGTGCAATATATAATGTTTCTCCTTTTGCTTGCTAGCGGTTATTCCAAATCTTCGCATCGTATGTAGCTCGTCACCATATTTGGTAGGTTATTCTACCTCTATGGAGTGAAAAGGCCGTTCAGCAACTTCATGTTTAAATTATTTCGTATTCACTGCATATACACTTCGTTATTCAGCTGACGAAAACCCCATGAAATCAAGTGAATTCATCTTGTTGTGTAAAGGTTTTTAATTTTTAGCTATTTAAACGCGAACTGCCACTAAGCCAAATCTACTGATTTGTGCATTCTTCTACGCAGCGCTGACAGCTTTTAGAAAAATTCCCAAAGCCGGGTTTTTCTGTAGACCAGTCTGTTATTGCGTGAAGCCATGTGCAGTACACAATGCACCCTGATGCATGCAGATGCCATACAGTTACATATTAATGTTATTATTTTTATAACTAATTACGTAGTATGGTATCTGAGTTCACCTAGACAATTTCCGGTTCGTATAAGTTGCGAGAAGTCTTCTAGGATACCGGTTATTTTGAATGCCTAAGCGAATTTTGAATTGTTTCCAGGCAGATTATGCTTGGAATAACTCCTATGATTGATGTGCGGCTCTCAGTCCTGATGAGTTTGAGCGCTAGGCACCATACCTGCTGACTTTCAGGCCTGCCCGCCTAACGTGGTTGCCAGATTCTTTTAAAAACATCCTAGCCAATAAGGAAGGATATAACACCTACGGCCACTGAAAGGTTATTTATTGAAGATGCTCCGAAGGTAATGTAAAATTAGATGACCACACCCCAACGAAGCTGCCTAGCTCTTTTTCTTTGAAAAATTATATTTTCCACCATCTTTCAGTCCTCATGGATAAACGAAATAATCGCTGATGGTGAAACAAGTGAGATTTAATTGAGATAGTAAACTTCTCCGACCTCCCACAGTCTCACTGCATCTGAATCTCGACCTGCAGGCTTTGAAACTCTTTGATGGCGTCTGTAGATGTGGCCTATATCGCCCCAAACGTGGGCTAGATGATCATGAACCAGCATCCAGAAGATATTCAAGTGACTGTCATTCCGAACCTGCACCTGAATCTGCAGCAATCCTTTATGCCACCTACTTTTACGCAGCTATTATCCCTGGTATCCTTCCAGTTTTCTCCCCTCGTAATTTGTACATATCTATTCATCATCTATTCACTTGGCAACTTTTAACCCTTTCTAGGTTGATGATGCTGCTTCTGGGACAACTGTCTCGGTTGCTACGAGTATGTCCGATGAATAACTAGTGATATAGATAAATATGATCACGGCAGCACTACGGTCTAAACGTGCATCATGAACCTTCCTTCAAAATGGCCTTTAGACAAATAACAGGAGCGATCAGAAACTATTCGCCTATCAGTAAGTTGACACAGAGAAATTTACTCGACTTGTAATAGCGTGTGGAGAAAAAGTTGATTACTGGCTATACTGGCCTATTATATCGCTGGAAAGCAGGTCTGGAGCAAATATAACTTTTGAGAATGACTTTCTGAGGAAATCAGTGTCATTAATTTCGTGATCATTTGGCGATTAACTCTTTTGCTTAGTCCGTAGGACCACTAAATCATCTTGGAATCATCGATTTTTAAATGTTCAACAAGTTTCAGAAGAGCGAATCTTATACTGCCCGTGATACGTTTATCGTAAATATTCGCTTATCACTACCCCTTAAGGCTGGGACAACACGAGTAACAACCGATAAAAAACAATGAGTGGTACTGGGGTGTACTTTTTTGATTAAACCCTTTTAATCTTATGGCGAGTTAAGAACCCTTAAGATTATGAGCGTACTTCTTCCGGGTGTGGGGTACAGTTTTGAAGGAGGAAGTACGTTTCCATCTGCATAGTTTTGGGAACAATTAAACTGCCTCCCGAAAGATCTGTTGATATTTGCATATTCTCGTAGTTCATAAAATGAGGCGATGGAATAGCATAATTTACTGGCCAGGTAGCATGAACATAGCCTATAGAGTTCATTTTCAAAACTGTGAAATGCGTCTATCTTCTCAGTTTCTTTAGCTGCACTGTTACAAGGTCAAGTGAACTTTTGATTTTTTGGCACATACTCGTGGTTTTACTTTTGGATTTGTAGCTGTTCACGCCCCAATCGTTTGCAGGTATAGTTCAGTTGTGTGTAGACCAAAAGGAGAATTTTTAAAATATTTCCTGTCAAAACTTAAAGATATGGATATAACACTGGTTTCACACTTATTAAATTTATTCTAGTTTTCTGGCCGATGGAAAAGCACATTGTTGAGTAAATTTATTAGTCCACAGTCCTGTATGAAACCAACAACCAATTTTTTTATTAGCTTATATAGAGCAAGTGTCTAGAGCTGTTAGACCAGCAAAATGCTCACCCCAGCTTCAATTTAAAAGAGCTACCACACCTTGCTAAGACCACCTTTTGTTGTATATCATTGGCCAATACAACTGTAACTTAGTACGTTTTTATCATCTTCGATTGATTGTCTCGCAAGTTTCAAGGAATTTGTCAGCCACTTTATTCATACATATACATATGGTATACTGTGTGCATGTATACATACATGCATTTGTAGCATGTGCTATCACAGATGGTGTCTCATGGATGATTTTTAGACAGTGATCTAAGTAAGGCGAATTTATGCCGTACAATTAGCATCTGTTTTTTGCTAATAACGAATTTTAGAAAAGTGAGAATACTAAATTTTTACCGGACTACTTTACTTTAGAGTACTAATCTCCATAATACATTCAACGTGACTAAAGTGCTTTGTCATCTCAGCCTGTCCATTCGGCTTTGGTTAAGAAGTGTCGTGGTATGATCGCAAGTATAGAGTTGGGACAATGTGCAGCCATGTCTTAAGCAATCGAGACCCTTATTCTTTGAATAACGAGAAATCTAGCCTAGTTGTCTATTTCCCTTTAGTCACCTCACCGATTGTGTCAGACTTCGGAATTTGGCGTCAGTTTTCGATCGACAACTACGTGGGAAAACCAAAGTCAACACACGTTCCACCATGTTTAGCTTTTTGGAAAGCTGAAGATTTTGTTAATCCTAGTCATATTTTGTTTCGCCATATGGACCACTGGTAAAAATTATGTATCTTAACGAAATTCCTTGTTGTCAGCAAGTGTATAATACATCTCCATTACTATTTCTTTAAATTAATTACTATCAGTCACCTGTGTTTTGTATTTTATGTAAAAGCTGATAACCACACTAAAGTCATGAGACCAAATCGAGCTTATTTTTGATTTGATTTCTGTGTAAAGTTGTTTTATTTGCATAATAATGAGTAGTGTTTTCTAATAGTCCTCAAATTATGACTGCGTTCAACCCTTTCACTGTCTATGCACTGGTTACGCGTAGCAGATTTATTATTTGACAATCCGTTAGAGTCAGATAGTGATGATTATCCTGTGTAGTTTAGTGAATTTTATGCTAACGGCATATTCCTAAGCTTCTACTAGCAACATTCCTGCTAACCATCTGATTTCGGATTGTGAGGGCGATTGTTACTTCTCGGCTGCTCACACCGTGGAAGTTGGTTGCGTGACCGCAGAGCCCAGCGGACAACTGCTTGAGGCCGGTCACACGCGGCCTGTTTTTGTTTGTTCTCTTTTGTTTGGTGTGTCTCAGTAGCATACTTATCACTTTTGCCTGTGACACGGCAGCAGGAAGCGCGGTCGTTGTTAATCCGGGCCACGGCCGATCCGGCATGAAATTTTGTGATTTTGTATTTATCATGATGTTGGATTGGGTAGCTGCTTTTTGTTTAACCGCTATCCAAACAACCTTTCTGGCATGGTAGAACCTCAATAGACATAAGTCTCAGCCAGTTTAGCTTGATTAGGTCATTGCGGTGTTCAAGCCCGACCACCACGTCAAGGTAGCAGCTTTCGGTCGGGCCTGCTAACCGTATAATTCTTCATGTCACATCAAGGCATATTTATTCATTTATGCCATAGTACTTAGTTGTTACACTTAACCCAAACAGTTTCGTGTTGTATGATTCAAACAGTTGAAGGATGTGCCTTTATATTGCATATTGAGTTTTCCAGCGCATGAGTGTGTGTATAGCTACTAATTTGTATCAATTTATTAATCTCTGTTCTATGTTTTGAGTTTATTCTCAATTCTCTACTTTTTGTTTTTTTGTCGGATTACTTTCGAATTATAGTCCTCATCTGAGTCAACAAACATGGCTCAGTCCTATGTTGTGATGACTCCCTTCACCTTGGATAACATGAAAATTATCCGTTTTGAGCGTACAAAGAACTTGGATGAAAGCTTGGTCCATCATATTGCTGGTGGACAACATTCTGGTATCATAGTAAACAAGGAATGCAAATTGAAATTAGAACCGACGGATGTCCCGGAGATGCAGTTACAATTTACTTGTGTTATGTTTAATAACAGAACATCAGAAACCCACGCTGTAAGTATTACTGGCTGTTATGGGTTTAGTTGAAACTCCTGTCATTCTATTTGTCTTTAACTGTCAGAGTAGTATTTACCTAAATGCCAAATTCATATTACCCTATAGCGAAAAGATTATGTACTTTGCGACAGTTTAAAGCTATTTGTTTTTTATTGGCGTATGTGTGGTTTGGAATGACACCTGTTCAATTCTCAAGATATTTACCTTATGTTTTCATAATGAGCAAATACATGATACTTATGTAGATCTATAATCAGTTACTTTCGTTGAACATTATTATTGGAGTTTAGTTAAATTTGTTAGTCATGATCACGATAAGAATTTTACAGCCAGAATCTAATGAGCAGAGAATTACTTAAGTTATTATAGTTCATAAAATGACTAATCGACTAAAGATGTTTTGGTCACGATCGATAGGCTATTTATGTCAAGGCTTTGTGTGTGTAGATGATACTGGTGTATCTTGTATACTTCACTTATCTGTTAGATGTGTGTAATGTTGACTACTATTTGCTGCTTTCTTTGTTTATATTACCTGTAACAACATAAGACAAGGGCCAGGCAACAGATCGTTTTATTACGAAAATCAACACGTATTTATATAAATTTCACATACATTATTATAGCCTAGTCAAGTAGACAAACGCAGTCTTTTGATTGGTTGTTTTCGAGTTCCTCGGAAAGTGGAGCCATCCATCTGCGAATCATATTTGCCCACGTTTAAGTTTGCTGTGATTGGTTGTTGAAACAGCCTTGTTGATGTTTTCTCACGTCCCATATTCGTGACCTAGACATTGACGTAGATTAATGTCAACGGATTGGCTAGCAGGCTGCTCTCACCACATACCTTTAAATTGTATGGAACTAGTTATCAGGAGTTCGGTTTTTCTTTCCTGATCTTTATTATGCATGAGGACTCTAGGCTCTATTAAGCGGAATTATTACTAATCGAATCTTATTTTATGTGTGCAGTAAAATGTATATACCTACTTTGACCTGTCACCCCCTAATATCCATGCACTTTCAGGAAAATCGTCGTTTAAAATTCTGGTTTAGTAAAAGTGCTCAACAGTTCGACCGTTTGGATGAATCGTATGACTTTTTTCGAGAACTGATTGATCCAACTTCATTTCCGAGAGGTAAGTTACGACTCCACGTTTATATAAAGACGTAATAGTCAATGTATGTTTAGTATTATCAGGTTTACCGACTTATTATTAATATGTCGATAGTGCGTACGGAGCTGTTTAATGCAGATGGATATATGCGATGTCACACATGGGAAACGTGTAATTTATAGTCGTTTTAAAATCAGTCTTGAGCAGTTTTCAAGTAGTTGAAGGGTTACTACATATACAGCACTAAGTCGAGTTTATTCGATATACACCGACGCTTCTTGGGAAGTTTTGAACGTATTAAGTTCATGCTTGCTCATCTAGTGTTTAACCGAGTCTTATTCATAGAACTAGTCATCGTAGAAAATTGTTTAACGTATTTCATTTGCATCTTGGGCTTTTTGAGTTGGAAACATATTTGGAGTACAGTAATGACGTTCTCTTACGTTAGGTTGGACTTACTGAGATATGTTGGGTCGACAGTCTGTGGAATGTCCGTCAACATTAAGGAGTTAGAAATTTCCTCATATACCCGACAAATAATAGTAGATTATTGAATTAACATCATGTCTCTACGTTAACCATAATACAGCTTACAAATTAAGGAAGTTAAGATTATAGGGAAATATCAGTGAGTTGAATGAATGCCTCTTGTACGTTTACAGTGCCACGAAAGGGTAGGTTGTGTAATGATAAAACTGGAAGCAGTTGCTAATATATCTTTAGTTGGACATTACATAATGCGATTCTGAGGACAGAGTCATACTACTGATAAAAAGGGATATAATGTCAGCACGGTGTTTCCATGGAATGACCAACAAACTGGCATCACTGCCTTCGCTTCATTGTAGACATCAATTCAAATGACATATTCTTATTTATCGTAATGACAATCCCCTGCTATGGGTTAACTTATTCGTTGAAGGAAATTAGTGAAATGACTTGAAATCTTTAACAATGATACAAAAACACCTCTTTATAATCTTCTGTATTGCAAGCATGTTCCATATTAATTTCTTTATTGGATATATCATTCAGTGAAACAATAATATTTACTGGAGGTGTATCAAAGTCAAGTTCCAAAGTTGTGTAGTTATAATTGATATGATTATGAGGAATAAATTATGTTCGAAACGTCATCGATTAAATAATACTATTTCGCCGTATGATATATCCAATTAACAAATTAATATAGAATTACATACTACTACTAACACTACTACAGTGCTCAAGTTTTGCACAAATCTGCTAATTTTCATCATATTATACTTTTCTTCCACATGTTTTCCCATCTTTAAATCATTAACTTTTTGTTTCTCTGTTTTGTGTAATTTTTTTTACGTGTAGCAAGGTACTTTGCACTTTTGTGCAAAGTTCCATACCGTGTAGTTTTGCTCTAATGGTTTTTCTCCAAAACTGTTCTTAAACGTATTCTTGTGAGTGTGTATTTTTGTGCTGTAAGTGTGGATCACAAACTATGGAGTAAAACTGAAGAAATCAGAATTCAAGGAACACAAAACAAGGATCCATAAACCACACGAAAAGCATGCGAACGATCTAGTATAGGCTGAATAATAATGACCTCTTCAACTCTTTTTTTTTAAATGACATACTTGCTTACTGTACACTGTGCATTCAATGGCCACCTGTCTCGACCAAACACCATATTGGTTATTCATATTAGCCTTCAGGCTGTTTAGAGACAAACCTTGAGGAAACAATGAAGTTAATAGTTGTGAAAGGCTTATTTTCTGAGTATATATTAATACTAATGATGAGTATTCTTCAGTTTATACTTTCCCTTTCATTGCTATACTAATTCCTCTTGACCATAAAGTATGTATGCATAATGAATAATATAAATTATGCTATCTACACCAATATTTTAAACTGCGTTTTCCTCACTGGTATTGAATAACTTTTATCATACATAACTCTAAAGTTGCCATTTATAAAAAAAGCTTGACTTGCTATTTACTTGATTGCATAAATTATTCACAACTCTTTTCTGGAACTTCATTGTACATATTTAAACATGCATGTCTATAGATTACGTCGGTTTTCTCAAAAAGTTATTGAAACAACTGCATGGGACCCGTTATCTACGTCTTCGTCGTGTAGATCTGGATATAATTCCTTTGGATAAACAGGAACAAGAGTCACTGGTTCCAGGTGAGAGACTTTTTATTTGCTGATTTATTTTTCTGACATCTCTTTTTTCGATGCACACAATTTAATCTTAAGATATAAAGAATCTTTTTCGCTGGCCTGCATCTGTGTTACTGTCAAAAGATTAACATTTTTGACTTTTCAGGGTTACTTTTTTTTAAATAGATACTTTACATGTCTACTACCAATTCTCGTACTAGTAGAGTATGATTCTACTAGATTTCAGTGACTTAGTGCATCGATTCGTTATTTGGTTAAATCTAAACTGATAAGAATGTGCAAGTGTTATATAACACCAATAGAAGTGTTTGTTTCTGAATGTATGTATGCATGCATTGAAAAACCGTTCAACGTATTTCACGAAGTGCTGTTGGAGAATAAAACACACTAAATTGTTCAATCATTTTAAAAAAGCCTTTACCTGAGAAGTGTTCCTAAACGTGTTGACATGTCTTTTGCATTACAGAACAACTACACCTCCATGTAATCGATACAGTTTGATAGAATTCAACCCCATCCTAGCAAACGATCATACTTTTAACAGATATTGTAGATGTTTGTGAAGAAGGTAATTTATGACCAATTCAATGTGTAATAAAAGAATTTTTTTGTGCGTCGGTGGCACAGCGGTTGGGACGCTTACCGAACATGCACATAGTCCGGGGTTCGATCCCTGGCCGACGCACTCCTTTACCTCGCCATGTCGGAAATAATGCTGGTAAAGAGGAAAGGTTGGGTATGAGGCTAGCAATCCCATCCTGTAAAAAATAAACACTGCCACAGAAACTTCAAGTCACTAGCTTGAGGCCCTATGTTCCACTGGGAACATGAAGGAAAAAAAAGAATTTTTCAATCAATAAAATGACTATTACTACTCTTGTAGACTTCTGACATACTTGAGTTTGCTTTCAACTTCCAGCTAGTTAAGCTAAACGATTTTAACTTGATTTTCCTCTTTTGTTTTCCGCAATTAGTTGTAGCCTTTGCACATAACTGCACTGAATGTGAGTAGTTATAATTACGGCATAGGAACACAAAAATTAATGTGCAGATGTTTGTTTTAATGAAACAAGTTGCTCAGTATTTAGTTAATTGTGTGTGCATGTGTGAATGTTCACTTATTAGAGAAGAAAACTAGTTAGCAATGACCACAACACACACTTTTTAGTTATTAACCTTTGGTGTTCATTTCAAAGGTTAAGTGGTATTGTGGATGCTGATAACGCGCGCGCAAGAGAGAAAAAGTGACAGTTGTATGATTACAAACATGTAAACATTTTCTGTCTAGCCAAACTAGATCACGACTAACTGGTGTGGGTTGACCTTTTCAGGCATACATGAAATAAATAGATATAAAACGTGTACTCTGTGCAGCACTGACTCTAATTTCATCTTACTCATGTGCTGCTGTTTGCTTCTCTCTGTTCACATTGTCATTAATTTATACATAATCAAACTAGTGAAAGAGATGTACATTGCATGTGAACACTTGCATGTATAGCTATCTGCCAGCATTTTCGCTTAATTGTAATCACAATAAATTAATCGGTTTTGTTATTATCGTTGTTGACTGTTTTAGGCGCGTCATATATATTAATGCCTAAATTTGTGAAGACGATATTTTCATTTTTTTTAATAATAATAATAACAGCTTTATTCCAAACAGTATTTCAACTACCTTAGCTATTTTTTTGTAACAAATTGACGGCAGGACATCATAAAGCTGCTTTCAGTTCATTTTACTGTTTTTCGAATTATATATATATATATATATGTAAGGTTTGTAATGCAATCATATATATGTATATTGCGTCGGTGGTTTATTAGTAGAAAAATACTCGCCAACCACGCAAATGGCCCGCAGTTCGATTCCCGGCCGATTCAGTCGTAAACCTCGCCTAGTTCACTACACATGATCTTAGCTCAGAGATCCGAGAAGCGACTCTGGCCGACTCTGGCGTAGACGAGATGTTCGACTATCGACCAAAGGGCGGGTGTACTGCTCATCAGTCCGCTCCGTCCTCCTTTATGGTTGTGAGACCTGGCCACTCAGAGTGGAAGACATGAAAAGACTAGCTGTCTTTGATCATAGGTGCCTGCGTTCTATTTCCCGTGTAAAGTGGCATAATAAGGTGAGCAACATTGAGGTTAGGCGTAGAGTTCTAGGTAAACAGGGGAAATTAATCGACGAAGTCGTGTAATTACAAAGACTGAGATGGTTAGGACATGTGTTACGTATGCCAAGCCATCGCCTCCCTCGACGAGCAATGTTAGCGGATATAGGGTCAGGCTGGAAAAAAGCTAGCGGCGGTCAAACAAAAACTTGGCATCAGTCAATGAAATCCACAACAGTTGGTCTAAGCCACGTAGAAAGGTGTAGACTTCCAGGCTGGGGTCCTCGGGACGGTAAAAATCTATGGTTGGAAACAATTGGTGACATGGCTCAAAACCGTTCTCAGTGGCGCAGATGCATCCACTCCCTGTGACTTATGATCTTCAATGAAACTGTTTTGTATTTCTTTATTACTCCTTTGTCTCACACCTCTGCTCACTGTTTCTATTATGCTTTTCTTGTACTTTCTTCTCTTGCTTCGCGTGCTACACGGAATGTGGCGACTTGAACTTCCGCACATTTGTGCAAAGTTCTACGTCGAAAGCAGACAGACAGACAGACCTAGTTCACTAGCCGACAGTAAGCCATGAAAGAAGGGTGGGTTGAGCATAGGGCTAAACGAACGGCTCAACCATCATTGAAACTCCGCAAGTCTGAAGCCCTGTGTTGCACTATATACATATGCAGTGGCTAAAACTCAGGATCTTGCAGTTCTATGATTAATACTGATTTTCAACTGATGTTGAACTTAAAGTGCTACGAAAATCACCAATACTTTGATCTATGAAACTGGCATTGTTGTGCCGTAGAATAATGATAGGTTTGTATCAGTTCTTATTGTTACTTCAATCCACGACAATGTATAACTGATCACTCGAATACTATTTCCACACTGACAAGGCAAAGCTTTATTGTTACAGCGGGATCAGAAATTACCACTGATTATATATCTGCTTTACATGACAAACAGACTGCAAGCTTAACAAATGAAAACTATTCTGACTGAACAGCATGCACCAGTAAACATCCCATGACGTCACCACTTGCATTAGAGTCAAATGTCTAGTTTGCAGATCATATGGGAAACACCGGCGTATAATATGTCATCTCCTGATTCAACTGACATAATACTGTAGGTACTGGACTATTACATGTGACACCTACTTTTACTTTGCCAGTTTGATAGTATTACTGGATTAATGCGTGTTGATGTTCAATTAAGCACTTCTATTCACAATACACGTATTTATCTCTTTCCTCAGTGCCTAAGTTTAGCGTAAATGCACAGTTTGGTTGTACAGTATTTAGACTATGATAACTGCCTTTGCTGTTACCTATCAAAACACTGAGGAAAGTTTAAAACAGAAAAACAAAACCCCCTAGTCATCAGCTTTTGTTCACATACATTGATTGTATATTAAGTTATGTACTTAGTTATTTGTTAGTACGGAGTAATTACTTTGGAAATACTTCCTGTTTCTTTAGAAAATAGCTCTTGAAATTGCTAATTTTGATGTGTAGCCAAAAGTTCATCATCTACAGGTAATAAATAAGTATTAAAAGAAAGATTAAAGCGAATCCATATGGTAAAGTTTGGATAGAATTTGTTGTAAATATTGGTGTTTGCTAACGGATATTCGTTCAAATAGTCGACGGTGATTTGCTCTACCTGCATTAAGAAGAGTTGTATGGTCCTAATATTTTCTCACTTTTTTCAGTTTTTCTTCTTGATCGGGTTGTTTCGTGTTGTTACTTGTCAAGTAGATGTGCTACTGTGTCTTGCCAAGGGCTTTAACCAAAAAGGCTTAGACTGTGTACGTTTAATATTTTCACTGTAGTATGAAATAAAGACTAATCTGTTCACCGTATTTCAATTTATAGTTGTAGACTGTTTAGAAAGTAGAAATACATGAGTCAAGAAGGCGTATAGCAGAATTTTGTAAACACTAGCTCCAAGTCATCTATAAAACCGCCATTATTGTCAGGCTTCCCATTGATCAGAAATTACTCCTTATATATAGAACTGTTCAAGTGAACTCAGTTCTCGGAGTAGATCCTTTGTCTTCTAGGTCAGGTATGAGCCATAGGGATTGTATGAGGGTCGGTGATATTACCCAGTCACCCTAGCCTTAGTAGGTGGAGTGAGATTCAAACCTGGGGACAACCAATTAAAAGTCGAGTACTCAGGCTAATTAGCCAAGTTTCCAAATATATCGGACTGACTTCCTGGCAGTCATAGCTCACTTGTATTTTGTGAACTGACTAGAATGATTCCCACCAGTACCCAAGAGTTAAAAGCCGCATCAGTTATCGACTGGTGGTTAATCTCATAAACAAGCACTATGCTGATTTAAATGACACTCAGTATTCTATGAAAGTTTAATCTAACCTCATATTCCAAACCTAAAGGATCTGACTTAATTTATCAACATCATGAGTGTCTGGTGGCTTATTGGTTGTTCTCAGGGATTTCAATTTTTATGCAGGGTGTAACTCCAATGGTTTACAAATATTATCATAAGTGGGAATAGGTCACTTTGTTTTCTCTCACTTTTGTGAGCTACATTATTTCTTTTCCATGCGGTGCATATATGTTGTTTTACTGTATTTACATAAATATTTCATAGTTTTCATAGTGTATACATTTTTTCTCCTTTTCTAATTAATTACTACGCTTATTACTTAGAAATGTGTGGTAAAGGTGAGTTGTCCTACCTATCTGCATCTTGACTCATTCTATCCTACCTCCTCCCCTCATTGACCCATGATAATGATAGTATTCATAATAACATTAGTAATCACTATAAAAAGTTTGTGCATTTTGTTGCATCTTGTCCATCTTTTTTCTTTTCCCTTTTATTTTGGATATCAAGGAACTCTTTCTTTTTAT